TCAAGTTATCCTCTTTCTCGATGGTTTTGCAGTGACCAGATTAGTCCCCCGTCAACCGCCGGGACCTTCCTTTAATGCGCAAGCTTTCTATCCTCCGCTATGGTCCCTTCCTCCTGTGACACCAACACCTCCTGGAAGTGACGCGTATGCAACACAATGGTGTTTCATACAGTAGAAGGGACACAATCATGATATGACGGTAGATTTTTCGCTTCCCTTCCTCATCCTCCCTTCCTCTCTCCACTGCCCTCCAGCTGCCACTGCAGCACCATGTGGAATGAACGGAAGTGTGCTAAGCAGGTGTTTATATAGCCCTGAGAGTGTTATCACAACTATCCTGCTACAAAACATTGATATCTCAAATCCTGTAAGCTACCCGATTTGTTAGCGGTTTGTTTATCCCATGAGCTTCCTTCTCACTCACTTCATTTTGCGGACGGACACACATACATACACACACACACACACACATACAGATACACAAACCGACACACAAAGTTAGCGCTTTATAAATAGAAGGATTTCAGTAAATACACAAAAGTGTGCAGCGATGGAAGACGTGCATAGATGACAAGATGAAGCGTCCTTAGCATTATTTTGCAGAATTTTTTTTGATTTGTTTTGCAGGATTTATTTTAATTGAATTAATTTGCTCTGTTAGAGGGGGTCGTGCCAGGATCTCGATTTCGGGGGGGGGGGGTCGTACCTCTGCGACCACGTACTCGACACGATTTTCACCCTGCTGATGGTAGGCTGAAGCCGCCTGCATTTAGACATCGACTCAGAGCGAATCCTGGATCAATCCGTTGCGATCCTATTTTCATCACATTTTCAATTCCTTTTGTCTAGTTACATTAGACACTGGAGCCCATCACTCTGAAGAGTCAGTGCAAAAAGTTAGAGAAACATGAAGGGGCGCTACGAAATATACGCAGGATCGGCCTGTTGTGAGTTTCCGCGAAAGGGACATGCCAGAAGTAGAGTTAATTATGAAGTGAAGAGCTAGGCGACAAACAGATAAAAAAACGTCCGAAGCAACTTCTAAGCTAGCCAAGGGCACTATTTTGATAAGAAGAGCAGGATAGTGCAGAAAGTTGCGATTTGCAAGAAATGGGACGACTTCAGCGCATTTTGTGGCGCGTGGATGCACCGCGTGTACAACGCGCACATACGCTTTTAATAATCATAAATGAAGAGGCCGGATTGAAGCCGGTGCTGCTGCTGGCTTGTGGCCGATCTAAAAGTTCAAACTAGTAGGGTGAGGTTCTGTCTCAGGGCTCCCTGATGTTTTGTTTGATTTTGAACTTCTGTAGGCAGCGGCATCTACATGATCAGGCTCTCATAAATTGGTTAGACTATTCCAGGCTCTGACAGATGAACCCGCCGAGTTGGCCGACAAAGCTCTCACTACAACCTCTTGGCTGGCTTTCAATAGAAGAAAGTTAGACTATATCATGCGGAGGTTCATAGAAAGCCGCACATGGCCGCAAACCCACTTCTTGAATACTTCTTGTCCAAACGGTTTACTTGATTTATGGTTCAAACTGTAGCAGTAGTTCTGATCATCTAACCGGCGTTCGATCACTTTCTTCACCTGAAATCGTTGACAAGTGGGAGCTGAATTACCAATTTAGTTGCTTGTTTTGATTTTTGAGTTATCTAAATAAATAATAAAAACGAAGCAATATTTCGATCATGAAGTACTAGATAGTATCAAAAAGTAGAAACATGATCGATGGGAAAAAGCGTGGCAACGACAAGCACGGAAACGGGTCTGAAGCTGGATATGTTTTCTCTGAATGAGTATGTGATAATGGACAGTGAAATTAGTAACTAATATCTGTCGTACGACCAATTTTTAGGGGTCTCATCCAGTAAGGGGGGGGGGGGCATTGTGATGCAACGTCAAGTGGCTGCCCTCACCCCCACCCCCTAGACTGCCTTCACTCCCCCTGGCTCACGGGGTCCCGTACTTCGAGAAACCTGTGCGCCAGGGGGAGTGTAGGCAGTCTAGGGGGGTGGGGGGTGAGGGCAGCCACTTGATGCCCCCCTTACTGGATGAGACCCGAAAGCATTATAATGTCGTAAATCACTTGATTGTAAAAGCATTCTTGACAAGTGTCACGACTTACAAACCTGAAATGTCCGGTTTGATTCCAGCATTCTGTGAAGGCTGAGTACATGTGCAACCATTCATAACTGTTCCAGGTGTTGCTTCATATCTGGAATTCGGTATTGTGCTAATCTCAAATTCAAGTTCCTATTTGTGTAATTGAACTTCAAAACAGGACAATAAATCCCGCTAAAGCGCTTGAAGGGTACAAACCTTGCACAAATTAGAGATCCTTGATAATCCAGATAGTTTACCGTCCTCAGGAACGATTGCAGACGTGGGAAACCCAAGCCACAGCCCTACAACGCCAATTGCTTCGATTCGATTGGTAACCAACAATAAACACAATATAAAACAACAAAATCGGAGTAGAAGTGATACATCAGAAATGATTACTTAAAGGAATTCTTCACGGAAAAATCATGATTCTATTTCAGCCATAAATCACTGGCTTGAGACTCATTCATCCACGATAAGAATGAAAAGAACAGAAAATTGCTTTTGTTTTGGTAAAAAATTCGAAAAATCGAAAGGGCTGCTACGCGTTCAAAGTACCACGGACATCTTTCACAAATGCTGGCGACGGGGATGCTTCCACTTGGTTCTTGGAGTGCCTTCACTAGAAACTCTTTCTGGCCTTCTGCTTATTGCATTCACATCTCACACTTCTACTCCATCCTATTCTATCGATCGATTTGTCTCTACTCTCCAAAATCGCGCGCTTTAACCCGATTCTTTCATTGCGTCGCCTGATACGTAGCCGCCCCAAGGCGGACTTTTCCATGCCCCGCCTTTGGCTCCGCCCGAATTACCTTCGATTGTCCATAGAATGGATTTTGTGAGTTTGTTTCTCTTCGGAAACCGAATCTTCATGCGTGAAACTTTGTGTATTGCATCTAGTGATCACAACTGATACATTCATGTTGAGAAAGAATGCAAGGTTTTTCGCGAAGGATTCCTTCAAAAGCACGGCTCAGGATAAAGCATTTGTGTAGGCGCACTCACAAGTTTGCTCATGCCAGTAATCAAATTATAAATGCGGAATGGACTACAGTGGAAAAGGATTAAGCGAAAAGGATTCGGATAGCTGCCGGAAAAAAACCTTGGAAAACGCTCAAATTTGGGCTTTCGTTTGAAGGCGGTCGTAGTGTGACGGAGAGAGAGCTGGTAGAAAAGCGAGAATATGAGAAAGGAGTACGCCGTACGAGAGGGCACAGACCGCGGTCGCTGAGTGCGAATGAAAGAATACCATTCATAGCCATTAATTAGGAAGCGCCCTTGTCGTTCACTTTCGTGCTGTGCTAACAACGAAACGGTAATCCTAGCAAATACTTCTAAACTACCTATCGAACGGATCATTCCAGTCGTATAACCCTGCGGCGTGCCTTTACTACGAACACTGCATTCTGGACAATCTTCGAGAAATAACGAAGTCAATCTAAGCAGCTCATTCGCTTACTATATAGCTTTACTAATGCAGTCAAATGCAACGGTGAACGTACATAGCAATATTCAAAGCAATACAAATTTGAAAAGTTTCCTACTGTTTTTCTTCTTTTGTTAGTAAAATTTAATAGTTAATCGATTCCAATTAATACCTGCTCTACGCCGTCAAAGTCCACAACACAGTAGTTTCCTCTGCATTTTCGAAGGCAGTTTTCAGTTGGACAGCGTTCACCGTGCCTTTCTGAACATGCACAACATTCCACCGTGGGCAGCCGATTTGTCATGTAGTTGTTCATCTTGAAAATTCAAAATTCATTCATTGTTTACAAGGAGCTTCAGGAATTATGCAAAAATTCGAGAAATGTCTGGAATGAAATGAAATGAGAAAGAAAGAAAGAAATGGGATAGAAAAGAAATGTCTGTTTATGTAAGTTCATCTACACTAATTCCCAATGCTTCGCATTCTACATTTCTTCATTTATTATCAACCCTCAAATCAGTCAAGCTTTACGTAATTGCGTCATCACTTTGTATGGATGATCATTAATTTAAATAATGCATGCATCAAAATGATAAGATCCCACAAAGTCTCGTAGTTACACACACCTTTCGCCAACCTATCTCAATCTTGCCTTATGTTTTATGTGATACCTTACTGAGACAATTGTGCATCCTTGGACAACGCCACTCTTGTGTTGTTGAATATTATGATCTAGGTTTCCTTTCCCTTTTTTCTGATACAGTGCGTTGCAAAATCATAGGACACCCCCCAAAAATATGAATATCTCGGCTTCTAGAAAAAGCCGTCTATCGCAACTGGTAGAATCAGAACCGCCTCTAAAAAACCTATACAAACAAGTAGCCAGATCATCCGAATAGTTTTCCGTATTTTTAGACAATTTTTTTAGTTTTGTAGTCGTTGCAAAATCATAGGACACCCCTCCTACAGTTGAATTTTTTTATCCATCCAGCAACGATGGTAGCACTTGTCCGGTGTATGGTAATTCTATTAGAGTTACGGTTTGAGTTGCTCCCTTCCCTCCGCGAGTGAAAGCCAGACTTTCTTTTTATACGCGCCTGATGGCTCTACCATGAGCATCGAAGCCATTTTTAGGAGCTCAAAGAAAACCATAGCTTGGTGCTCCAAATTCTCACTACGAATAGAAATAAGAGTGCACCAGGATAAATAGCAGAAGTTCTCTAAAAGGATTAGCTATAACCTCGAAGATTACATCAAACAAAATCACCATGTACGGTCAACCTGTGTCAGCTCTACGAAAGAAAGAGGATAGAAATGAAATCCTATAGCAAAATCACTGATATGGACAACTAGCGTAGGGTCCTGCGAAGCGTGCTGCCATGCTCGTTAGGCGTTCTGACTGAAACCAGAGAAGAGAAACTTTCAGGTCTGGAACTCAGGATGAGGTTACGCATCACCACATCTTTAGGAAACGATCACGAAAATTTTGTTGAAGGAATAAGTCGAATCCTGGCCCATATTTCTTTACAAGTGAACAGCAGTCATCTGAACCATCAAAGTTAAACTGCTCATTACCGAAGAAGCGCGGTCTGAAAGGAACAAATTACTTATTATTTTGAATGAAAAATTGCTCAACAAAGCCCAGCTTCGGCCCAGTCTTTCGTTAGATTTCTCTTCTCTGGTTTCAGTCAGAACGCCTAACGAGCATGGCAGCACGCTTCGCAGGACCCTACGCTAGTTGTCCATATCAGTGATTTTGCTATAGGATTTCATTTCTATCCTCTTTCTTCGTAGAGCTGACACAGGTTGACCGTACATGGTGATTTTGTTGATGTAATCTTCGAGGTTATAGCTAATCCTTTTAGAGAACTTCTGCTATTTATCCTGGTGCACTCTTATTTCTATTCGTAGTGAGAATTTGGAGCACCAAGCTATGGTTTTCTTTGAGCTCCTAAAAATGGCTTCGATGCTCATGGTAGAGCCATCAGGCGCGTATAAAAAGAAAGTCTGGCTTTCACTCGCGGAGGGAAAGGGAGCAACTCAAACCGTAACTCTAATAGAATTACCATACACCGGACAAGTGCTACCATCGTTGCTGGATGGATAAAAAAATTCAACTGTAAGGAGACTTCCGAGGGGTGTCCTATGATTTTGCAACGCACTGTATAGTGGGAATTCGAGAAGAATATGAAGTTTTTCATTTTTTAGAATTTTTCCCAGCATCTCACTCGGTTCGGTTTACCAGTCCTTGTGTATAGTTCACGCATAGTCTCGTTTCGTTTTCCTCTTCCACCGCTACTTTTCCAAGAAAAATGATGAGCATATTGCAGTTATAATTATAATACTATTTTAAATAGCTGTATGATTTTAATGGGTTCTATCTACCGCTTTACTGCCTGCCCCACTCCTCAAGAACTGAGCCGGATTTTGATCGAAATTCGTCCATGACTAAGGATTTGCTAGAAACTTGGGGTATTTCGACCCGTAGAACACGAATATCACACCGGTTTAGCGCGAACAACGCTTGGCGCCCGCGCCACAGGCGCCGGCGCTATCACAACAGTTTTGCGCGGGCGCCCGTAGCGCAGGCTACAACGAACTAATGTGATATTCATGTTCTACGGGTCAAAGTACCTCTGAGGACAAGTTTCCAGCGAATTTGGTGATCCGAGATGTTCTGGCGCCTTTTGGCGCCTAGCGCCAGGCGTTCTAGCGGTAAACGAATGTGATATTCGTGTTCTTTTGGTCAATTTACCCCTAGCGCCCTTCAATCTGTTTGACCATTCATTAAAGCAACAGTTCCAGGACGAATTTACGAGCGCGGAATAAGGCTTTGAACAGGAACTCACCCTCTGCCCTTAGCGATGAGAGAAGACGCGTGCTGGACGAGTTGTCCGAACCTGCGCTCCAATTGCAATTGCTGGCAAATAGCCATAATAGTTGGCCATTTGCCAACTCTTGCAATTGGAGTGCAATCTCTAGCTCATTCACTAACAGTTCGATCACCCCTCAAACTACTGCAATTCGACCCTTCCATTTAGCTGGGGAGCCCTTCCATTTAGCTGGGGAAGCCTTGATTCCGCTAATAACTGACTGACTTGGTAGCCATTACAACAGATTACAACATTACATAACACCACATAACATAACAACATTAGAACAACACAAAAAAGAAGCAATTCCACTGCAACCGGCAGGATCAGATTGATTACTTTAAAGGACAGAGTTCAAATACCCCCTGTGGTCCCGAAACGAGCACGAATGCCTCCGTAGCCAATCACGGCTGGCAAGTGGGCGGTCCCGAAGAAATTTCCAACCACACCCATCTTTGAGGATTTAACGCCCTTTTTGGGCTTTTCCCAGGTGAGTTTTCTTTATAACTTCACTTCAGATGTTTTCCAATAGGGCCTGTGTATCCTTTAGTGCCATTAGTATTGAAAGAAGCAGACCCTGCTGGGACTGTTGCTTTAAACGAACTAGAGGAAACCTAGGTTTGGCTGAGAAAAATCACTATGGTCTTTGGAACCATGGCTGCACACACAGTTGCGGTCAAATGTGTTCGCCGAAATGATTTTTCGTGCATTATTTCTTCTCACTTGAGTCAAGCTCTTTAAAGATTGATATTCTAGTATGTTTTCTGTTTTTGTTTCCCAGTGTTTAATATCCTTGAATCTTGAAGATCAAGATCAAAAGAAAAATAGTTTCGAGATCACCATTAATTTTTTTCTAGAAAAAAAGAGAAGCCCGGAAACCGTCTCGGCAAACACTTTTGACCGCTACATACATATGTACAAATACGTTGGGTCTCCTAATGATACAGCCACCTAGAAATTGTTCAAAATCTCAAATTCCACAAAGTTTATGGAAAAATGTCCAACAGGAAAACTGTGTCAAATTTGGTCGCGAATTCGAAAATCAACACAAAATTCCAGGTTGAAAATGCGAAAAAATTTTATGCTAATTTTTCCAGAAGGGTCGCTTTTCCTATGTCTCCAAATGATACAGCCACCCCGTGTTTCTTCGTTGCATTTCATTTCTGCTTGATGAAACTGATTGGCAGTCATCAATTTTCTTTTTTAGGTTATCAGGAAAGGAAAGCAACCATTGGACTTTGAAAAAGGGAAATCGTCACAAAAAGAAAAATTAAGCGCCAGGTGGTCACATTGCGCGAGAATTTAGTCGAAACTACGGAATGATTAGCAATTTCTTTTTGAATCCTGTAGGAAATGGAACTTAGAAGGGCTCCGGACGTTATTCTTTGCTTTTTGATTAAGATAAATGCGACATTATGAGAACAGCACCAAATTTCACCAAGGCGGTGTTCGGAAATTGAGTCTTCTTTAAACTTAATCTTGTACTGGATAGTGCTCGGTATGTACAGGGTGCGCCAAAATTACGGAGACAACGCATGAGCAAACAATTTGAACTGATATTCACAGATGCTGTTTTCTTCTGTCCTAGTTTTGGTACTGTGGTGTAGAATTGTTTATGCTTAC